TATAGAGAAAAAAGGGCGAAATATGCACTAATGCAAAGTAGATGTTGTGACCAGTATTTAGGTCTCTAATCTACCCATTGAAAGACCTGCCTCATGCAGATTTGTGGCGTTTTGTGATTGGCAATGGCAATTTCTAGGACTATGGCATTTCAATAGCCATCTCTCAGTGGAAATTCACTTTGTTCAATATTTTCTGGCAGTTACCATCCAGTTTAGGCTCTACATTATGATTTAAGACACATTCACATTTGATTTATTTTCACCACTTCTGAACTGGTTATTTTTGGGGTTGGGGGTGGGGGTTATAAAGATAATAAGAAATAGGCCCAACAAACTGCTTAAAACATTATAGGTACTCAAAATGCGGTTCTATCTTGCTTACCACGTCCAAAACTTTTGAGAAAATAAATATAAAACATAAATAAAATAAATACGATTTTAAGTCCCAGCATTCTCACTTTTACCTTTCTGAGCCTTCAAAAGATGTTGACTCGAAAACAGTCATATGGATTGATGTTCTGTGAATAGTTTTCAATATGATATACCGTTAAGTTTGTGACAAAGAGAACACGTTGAAGATTCCAGGAAAATTGAACAACTGCTATATGATGATTCAATGCTTTTTGTGAAGTTTCACAATATTAACACGAAACAAGTGTCCTTTTTTTTTTAATACATAGAATGTGTGTAAATTTGGTTATATTGCCTGGGATGCGGGTAGAGAACCAGATTTCACAAATTAATTGTGAACATGGCTCTGTCTTTTTCTTCCGTGTGCTCTGTTTGCCATTTGCTGTTGATATTGTACTGCAACAATTAATTGTGAATGCAAGCTAATATCTTTGGGAGCATTTGGCAGATTCAAGGAGAAATAGATATCACTTTATTGATCTTGCCTGCCTTATAAGCATGACCTCTATTCTTGTATAAGGGTTTACACAAATATATACATGGGGCCCCGTAATCTGTATGAACATCTGGCTAAATTTGTTATACAGGTGAAGGGCCCCTTTGTTAAAGATGGAGCTTGTTACACTAAGTAATGAAAGTCAAAAGTTGGCTTCATAATTTTAAGACTGAGAGTGTTTAGTACTTTTATTCAAGAAAATTCACCTTGAGTAAGCAACTTACTAGTAGGTAAGCCCTGTTTTATGAGTAGTAAGAAATGGATTATTAAAATCATCACTTACAATATTTAACTGGGCTTTGACAGTTTTTTTTTACTAATAGATCAAAATAATAGATCAAAATAGATCAAAGTGTTTTTGTCCCAACTTTCTCTCAAGTTTGGTTTTACAATAATGTAGGAGCATTTGGCAGATATAGAGTGGGTTATTCAGAAGTAAATTATGGGTATTTATGAGTGAATATCCAGATATCCACCCTGACAGTTGTGGGTTATTTTAAGATGAATATCCAGATATCCATACAGACAGTTGTGGGTTGTTTTAGGATGAATATCCAGATATCCACACTGCCAGTTGTGGGTCGTTTTAGGATGAATATCCAGATATCCATACTGACAGTTGTGCGTTGTTTTAGGATGAATATCCAGATATCCATACTGACAGTTGTGGGTTATTTTAGGATGAATATCCAGATATCCATACTGACAGTTGTGGGTTATTTTAGGATGAATATCCAGATATCCATACTGACAATTCCGGGTTATTTAGGGGTGAATATGTGTTAATTGTGATGGCGGTCAAATAGAGACAAATTTCTGGATTTGGTTAATGGATGCTCCCTAGAAACTGGCAGAATTTATAAATACCTAAAAAAAGTATTTTTGTAGATGATGAAAAAAGTGAGAAATGGTATCTAATGCTGGCATGATTACATCATTTATGTTTTGAGTCACTTGAATATGCTAATTTCTACATACATTGGCAATTATGCTGTATGGTAGTGAAAGATGTTGTCTCATCCTTTTTAAACAAGGATTCAACAACTTCAACTTAGGCGCTACTCATTTTCATTGAGGCTCTGCCTCCCCCCTCCCCTCCCCCATTTTTGTCAATAATTTGATGCACGAAATAAGCATTTCCGTTGAAATGTTGTCTTTTTTTTAAAATATGGGTTGTTGCCATTTTGTGACTATATTTATTTGAGAATGATGTGGGAAATTGAAGAGAAAAATAAAACAGCAAAAAACTTAATTGCATGATAAGTGGTAAGATAACTCAGGTAGTTAGTGATTATTCACTTACTTTGAACTAATTTTATTATCTGTATGTCCCAAAATCTGTGTGTAGCTGGTGTCACTTGAAAAGGGTGATTCTCCATGTTCTTTTCAGAAGGTGTCTTTTTGTAAGTGTCAACTATAAGAGAGAGAGAGAGAGAGAAAGAGAGAGAGGGGGAAGGGAGAGAGAGAGATGTTAACTCATAGAAAAACAATCTATTGCAGTGAGTAAGGTAATTGGAGTTAGAGAGTAATTACCACAGCATCAACAGCATGCGAAGGTTGTTTGAGGATATATTTTCTAACTGTGAAATAAACAAACATACAAAGGCACAAGCACAGACCCTCCTCCCCCACACACAAACACACACACACAAACACAGACACTGAGCAGGGCACAGGGGGATATGCATACACTTACGTTTACACACACACACACACACACACACAATATATTAAAGACCTTTGAATTAAATAACATTTCATTTTTTAAAGAAATAGAATTAATTTGGTATCATTGGGTATTTTATTTCCATGATATCATATATTTTGATATAGGAGGGGAGAAGTGGCCCAGTCTCTTCTCTATATTCTCTACATACTACAGAACAAAACCTGACAAATAGGTCTCTGCCTCAAATTCCAACCTTTTCCCACAGTAAATAGGTAAATCCACTCGGCCTGCAGTTCATAATGGGAGGCTTTTGAGGTAGAAATATGAACCAATATGAAAATGCAAATGCAATCTAATCATGAAGACCTCAAGGTCTACTTGGAGAAGGTGCTGCCACCTTTTGGTGGGATGGTAGACTAGCTTGATGTTTGCTGTATTTCTGAGTTGAGTGAGGATATAGTAATATTTGATTTCTGATGGAAACAGTTCATGAGCATATAGAAAATGGATTTTTAGGAGAAATGTGTACTCTGAGAAAGCGGCCTAATTGCAAATGATTGTAATGTGACAATGTCTTTTTACAGAATTTTATAACATTGAAATAATTTTTATGATAGCTATATATGTTGGTAATAAGTTCAATAAAAAGCTGAAATGTGAAAATCACTTATAGACTTTATAGTTTTATACAGTGTGCAAATCGCAATAAATCAACAAATCTGAAAACTACAGATAAATTGAGAGAAATCTCCACTAGAATTATTTAACGGGTCCGGTGCACAACATGTTATCACAGGTGCATTTGAGGCCTAGCTGTTGAAATGATCTCTAGTGCTGAGATGGGTTAATACAGACAAAAATAGATAAATTAATACATCAACAAAAAAATAGGTAAAACCAAACAAAACAATTTCATTTAAACTGAGAGAAATCTCCACGCATGCCTTTCAGCCATCCATAACCCCTCATTCCTCGATGAGGAAGAAAACGTACAAGTTGAGAGTGTAATATAGGCCCAGTGGCATGCCGACCAGATAAACATACATGTTATTTCACTTAGTTCTACCTGCAGAAATTGAGTCCTCCTCACCTCCGTTCACCCTAGCTGACCTACACACAACAACTGACTCTTCCTGTTTGCTCTTCACTGAGAGAGCTCTATATATGTAACGCCTGTTATCTCTTAGGCTATGTTCAGAATGGTTTGGTCAAAAAATGTTTTAATTCAAGCTTTATGTGGGCATTTAATTTATTGCAGCCCCTCCCCCTCTCTCTCTTTCTCTTTGGTCCCATTCAGAATGAGGGACTAACTAGTCCGAAGGTCAAATATGGCCAACCCACTTGAATACGTCCCTACTTAATTGTAGCCCCTTCCCCTCTCTCTCTCTCTCTCTCTCTCTCTCTCTGTACTAGTATTTGATCTGTGAATAGCACTTGATTTCAATTTCTCAGGTAGTCCTAGTGTTACGTAATCAACACAGTAGGCAATTACAAAATGAAAGCATTGCATTCAAACATCTACTTCTAGCTGATGATTATTATGTTGGAAATGTTCTGAATCATACCAACATTGCTGTGAAAAGGTGCTGTTGTTTTTTTTTCACACACTGGAAGTAGAATTCTGTCATCTCTTAGTAACTACTTAGTGCTAGAGTATATGCAACACTGTCAACTCTTTATTATATGCTTGATGGAAAATGTTAGCATCTTTTTCTTATTAAGCACGGCTCCATGCCTACTCAGTTTGTATGCTTTTCTTTCTCCAGTGAATATAGCTTTTTTGGAAGTTCTATGTCAGGATTAGGGATCTTACAGATTTGGGGAATTTACTCTAGGAACCTGAAAAGTTATTACATACAGTTTAGAAATTTTGTTGGACTTTATTGGAAATGTTCAGAAACAGTTGAAATTCAAGAGGGAGAGCTTAGGGGGAACGTTCATTGCCCTACTTTTTACGCATTGGAAAAGAATCAATGTCTGAAATTATATCTGACGGTCAGGTAAAATGACTTTGGGGAAACTAGTCTCATTTTTATTTTCATTCTCAGCTCATCAGTCCAGTCGATTACATGTGGATTTACGATGGAGTTTATTAGTACCATTGCATTAACATCATTTCATTTTTATATCACATTTTTATATGGTATCTGATCATTTTTATATCACAATTTATCATATATTATAACGTGTCATTTTCATATCACATATTATCACATCAAATTGTTCCATTTTCATAGATAACATTTTATCACATATCATTTCAAATAATTTTCATGTCACGCTTTATCACATATCATTTCATATATATATTTTTTTATCACATTTTGTCACATCAAAACATATGGTATACTTTCTATATCACATTTTACTACATCATACTGTATCATGTTTCCTTACTCAGTGTATATATTTCTATATTTTCAGCAAGCCTACAAAGCCTGGTTGTGTTCCATGTATATCCCATACTACCAATATGGCCGCCTTCTCAACCCCTGTACAAGTCTGTGTAAAGCCGTGGAGGAGAGGTGTCCATACTTCCTACCTGTTAGTAAAAACCAATATGCAGGGGAGCCAGCATTTTTATGTACAGGTAAGTAAGTGCACAGGTGGTTAACTTAGTACAGTAGTGGTATATATTCCGTTCTGAGGGGGGCCATAGAAATAGTCCGAAGGTTCAATATTCTGAAGGTTCATTGGTTCAGATGTTCACTATAGAAGCTTCTGACCAATGAACCCTTGACTAAAAAAACAATGAAAATGTTACCATTTTTTGGACCAATGAAACTTCGGATCGATGAACCTTCAGACTATCGAGATTCCCCCGTTCCAAGGAAGTGCAAGAGCACCAGCATATGAGGTTTTTGTGCACAGGTAAGTAACTTAGTATATATAGTATCAGTATATATGTGAAATGTGTGCCGGCTGCATTAAACAATATTTAAACTAACATTGTTCTGAGGAAGTACAAGAGCACCAGTTTTTATTTTTTAGTTATAAGAGATAGAGATAAAGAGATATTAAGAGAGAGATTTCCCATTCCAGTGAACTCTATAGAGCAGCCGCCTGACATCTACACCTCCTGCCGGGACGGCTGTTACCAGCTCTGTGAGGATAACCACAACATCTGCCCGCCGGCCAACATCACCGCCATCACGGAGCAGGAGATTAAGAGGTGTTCTGGAGGGGCAGCCTCATCCACACAAACTTCTTCCTTGCTCCTCCTTCTCCTCCTCCTCTTCGTCAGCAGCACTGTTACCTGTTGGATTAGTTCACATTCATTACAAGAACATCTACTACTACTATTAGGCGTATTTAATTCAGCCCTGGGTCTCACATAGTACGACGGAGCTGGTAAAAGCATTGGGTTGCAAGTTTGTGTTCATGTCCAACGATGTACATGACATTTCAGGAGGAGCAGACCACATGGATATCATGTGACTGTCACATGGCTCATTGGGAAAGAAGTAGATCACATGATTGTTGACTGATCATCACATGGCTGTCATGTGACATTTTACACAAAGTGGTTCATTAGGTGTTAAAGACTAAACCCCAATCTGAGAAAGCCTGGAAAAAGCATGCCTCGGAGTAACCGATTAGAGGGATTACAATCTCCCAGATGCAGTCACATGACTGTCACATGATTGTGTCATGGTTAATGGTCATGTGATTGCAAGTCATCACATGGGGTTGCCAAAATAGAGAGAAACATGTGATTTATAATGTGGAATACACATCTTTTGGTCACAGAATTTTTTAAAAATAACTTTGCCAATCAGGCTGAAGTATGGAAGACTGAAGCAGAAATGGTGGTGTACCATTGGCTGAATATTCTTATGGTGCTGATCTCTCATTGGTTGTTTCATTGTACGTTAAGTGCCAGGATGACAATAAGGATGTCTTCTCCTTTTACAAAAGGTGCCAAAACTGTGATTTGTGCACCCAGGGTGGTGGGTATGAAAGATAACTGGACATCTGCTCCAAACAAGATGGCTGCAGGTGACACACCGACAGGTTGACAAGTGCAGACAGCTGCTGGTCAGAGGTCAAGTGCACTTTGTTGTTTCAGTTACGCAATTGCAAGTTACGGTAATTGCTCACAAATTTCAAACAGCTTGATTATTATTTGTCTTAATTATTTTATTTTGTAAAGCAAAAATAACATTGCGGAATGAGGCCAGTGCTGTTTCTAGAACATCTTATGTGCCATTTTTTAGCAAAACATTTTTCAGCAAAATGTTTTTAGAAATAAGATATGGATTTGTTCGAATTAAGTGAGTAATTACCGTAAACACAAAGGGCCATATCCCACCTCACAAAAATATGGCTGCTCTAGCTCTCCATATGGGAATAGTTGTGACTAGGTGTCCTTTTTTTGATCTGACAAGTGAGAATTTTACTCTGGACACACTAGTTATAAGATCTTACTGGGATGAACAGTATAAAAAAATTGTCAAAAGGAAAAATTGAAAAAAGTCTGATCAATGAATATTTGCCAATGTGTTATGACACAGCTCTGAAAAAAGTAATCTTCCTGCAAAAAAAACCCCCAAAAAACGATGGCTATAATATTGCTTCTTTTCTAAACAGTACCTTTATAAATAGTGCCAGCATGTGGCCGTGAATTCTGAAAAAAATGAAAATATGCTCAAGAAAGTGACTCCTACTAGGGCTATGGTTGCTAGTGCACCCAAACAGGCCATCTGCATTCTCAAAGCACACAGCATGTTGCTGTACAATCCATTTTGGCAGTGTACATTTAAATATATCATTAACAGTGTACATTTCAAATACAATTAAAAGTAACAATGTGACATTACATCTTGGAGAATGTATTTTGCGATACATGCATGGTATTGATGATGTAAATAGCAATGACAGCGTTCTTCATGAATAGCGCCATTTTGATTCGTTGGGAACAGTGGCAGTCTTCACAGTGGCACTGCTATGACGAAACAATTTATAATGACAGTGTTGTGCAGTCTAAATGGCCATTTATGTCAGTGACATTAGTAGAGTTAGACATTTTAATACGACCTTTGGAGGATATGTACATCATTGGGACACTGATAAATAATTTTGATTAGTGTAGAGCTCTGTATACAGTATGTTCGCTTGATAATTAGTAAAAACACAAAGAAAGGTGATATTTTTTCAGTTGCTTTGACCTTAGCTAAAGATGTTTATTTCCAAGTGGCACCAATTCATGACATGGTAGATGTTGTTATATGGGACCAGTTTACAGAGAATGTTCAAGTTGAAAGTTGGTCTCAATTTTAGGATGGAAATTTTGGTTATATTTTGACCCAAGGTGAGTTGGCAGTAGTCTATTTACCTGAGAATATTGGGAATTTTACCTAAAAGTTAAAAGTGTTTTTTTGTTATAGATCTGAAGTTGATATATTGAAGTAAGCAGCTGTTCCCTGGAAAATAAGAGCAAACTTGAAAGTTAGGGCCAACTTCTAACTTGTTCAGTTCTTTGATGAAACTGGGAAAAGGTGGATGTTAATGAAATTGTTGATCTCTGCTTCCCTGGCATAAGATCTGATTAATATTTCTTTTCAAATCTCACTGTTATCACTCATTGAATTATCCAGATTTTTATCCTATGTCAAATGCACATGACATAATAAATAGACCTGTCTAACTGATGATTACCCAGAGGCGATGTGACATTTGTGTTTGGTGCGGTAAACTTGAATCAAATGCTTGTGTAGGCCAGAGGCTGATAAGTGTGCATATTAATTGGAGGATTGAAACCAAAGACGCTGGCAAACATCATCAGATATGTTTCCATGTTGGTCAGGTTAACTTCCCCCATTATGACAACCTACAGCTGTCATGGCAATTACGGTAAAATATTGACAATTTAATCGGTCTTGAACAGTTTGGCGGAAAACATATCTGCACCAACGTAAGACAAAACATACATGTAGATTGTTCAGACATTTCTTTGAAAACTGAAGCCGTGTTAACAGAGGTTCTTTTTTTCTTATGTTATGTGCACATTTATTTTACTCTGCCCTCATTGTTGATTGCAGCCACTGCACCCATCATAAACAAGCATTTGGTTATGCGGATTTCATGGTTCCACAGAAGAAGTATGTGGCTATTATAACTGAGGTTTAAACTCATAATGGGCATTGCAATTTCAATCCTATGTCTCTGAAGTTTAGGTGTAGCAGAAGCAGGCACATTTGAAAATATGAAAATTAAGAAGCTAGCTCACATGCATCACAAAATGCTGGCTTCTGTACTGTTCGAACATTTTAATGCATTGTCTTTGTCTCCTAGCCAATCTGTTATATGCCTTACAAAGACATAAGGACATCAGTTAGTCTGTGAAAATTATAAGTTTTTCAAAAGACAGACATAATAAGAATTTTATGTTGTTTAATCTTTCACTTAGAATGTCACTGAGCCTATTCAGGACAGCAGACTAACTAGATCCACAGATCAAATATGGTGACCTTCCTAAAAGCTTGCCGCTTAATTCCCGATGAGACAGTGAATAGATTCCCTGCATTCAACAAGCATTCAAGTGGGTCGGCCATATTTGAGCTGCTGTTAGTCCACTGTTTTGAATTTGCTAACTGTGTTAAAGTCTGAGGCTTATGTTGCTTTTTCGTGATGCGGCAATAAACCATTAACTGACCTTCCCCACCATTTTTCTTACTGGTCAGGCAAAGTGTCAATGCCCATTGTGAAGACAATATCAACTTCATCTTATAGGCCATGTTATAGATACAATGAAGTAAAAAATATGTATATATACATATCTTCCAGAACCAGACTGAGTTTGAATGTATTGCAGTTTTATATGGTAGAACTCTACAGGTGGCTGAAAATAGTGCTAAATCATAGGAGATCTGTCCATTTTCAGTATTTATATTTCATGGATCTGTTTTAAACACTGTAAATGAATTAAATTAGATGTACATATTGTATTTCATGATCATTATGTACTCTCATTTTCCAGTTTATAGATAAATAAGTCCCAAAGTGTAAAATTACCAAAAATAATGATAAAAATATAAAAATGGCTTACTTTCATCCAATTGTTATGCTTTGGAGACATATCTGGTATTTCATGATTTTTGCTTATTTTGGATTTATATTATATAGACCACAATGTCACCAAAAATTGCTGGCATATCCTGTATGGAAACAAGTTTTGGAAACCCCCAAAAGGTGGCAGCACCTTCCTCACTACCTCTCAGTGCTGAACCGAGTCGAGGTCTTTTCTACACATCAACCTGGAAGTTTTTAATGGTAGTCCAGCTTGTAGATGTGAATTCTGAGGAAGCTTGTTAAGTGTCTCAATCTAGGGGTGCATTCCCAGACATTTAGATCGATCCAGAGATTAAGATTTAGATCGACCTAACTCCCTGGGGGTTCACACTAAATTGCAGTCAGCTGAGCGCGCACCATAGTTAATTACCCCCTTACAGCTTTTAATAGGCGGGACAGATGCTTAAGCCGGCTAAGCTGACAGTAATCTAGTGAGACTCCCCACAGGGATAGATCGATCTAAAATGGGAATGGGGTCTAGTTCGCATTTGTTGTACTAAAGTTAGATGTTATAATATTTGTTATACATTAGTTTTGGAGGGTGTAGCTGCCTAGTAGTTTGTAGGATGCTTATAAGAAAGTGGTCATTTAAAAAATGCATTGCTTTTAGTCATGTCACAGTTACCAATAACGTTTAACGTCAAGATGTTCCGCTCCATTGTGAGAGAGGTGGAAGCCATATTTGGTTACTTTCTTTTTCCGTCGACCCTACGTATTCTGCCGTGTCTTAGAAATTTGTGTCTCCATGTTTTTTAACATTGACATTATGAAAACAAACTCTAGTGTAATATCTACCATACTGATACACACATTAAATTATATAAATATTATATTAAAAAAACAAAAACATTTTAACCGTTAATCAAGTATTGTAGATCATATACATATTATATTGAACCTTTTTAACTTAATGTCTAGAAGACTTCCAGCTGTATAAGCATGATGAATTATAAATAGTGATATATAAATACATATACACACACACATACATATATATATATCATAATTCATGTTGTTTACATTTTGAAAACATCTCATAACAAATGATGTTCAGATGTTAAAGTCCCAGATGTTATTATATTATATTGCTAATTGTAGACCTCTCTCTCTAAGTGTTGTCCCACAGGCATTTGGAAATGTATATGTACATTGTACACGCTGTACAGTGGGGGAGGAGAGGTTTGGGTCCCGGAGCCTGTGACCATGCAATATCAACTGTGTACCATTTTTTGCCATCTACAGAGTAAATGAATTTTACATCAACATGTGGGTTGTCGTTGTTTTTTTTATTTTTTATCTTTTTTTTCTGTTATTATTTGATAGCATAGAATAAATCTAATATCTTGGATTTTAATGTCTGATATGACGTTATCCTTGGTTTTTGACCAATCAGTTTAAAGGAAACGTGCATGGGTGAAAGTTTTCATGTTTATGACCAATTTTGGTCTTCATTTTGATCATTTTAAATGCAATGAGGAATTTTGACCATTCTGATCATTTCTTAATGCGATGACAAATTGCATGCTAGGTTTTCATTTTTTACAACTTTCACCCATGAACATGTCATCCATCAGAGTGAAGAAAATGTTTCAATCAAACAACTTACAATAGAGCAGATGACAGAGATGTTACAGCTTTTCATATTTATTCCTTGGCGGACATTGACATTCTGGGCGTAGGTTGTATAACACAACAATTATCGCCTTAAGGTCAATAAACTGTTTTGCAGTCTAGGTCAATGCTACTTTTCTGAGGTCAAAACATGTTTACCACAGCCAAAGTCAATTTACTGTGAAGAATAAAATAAGAGGCAATTCAAATTTCAGCCTTTTTTGGGAAGAAAGCAGTATTCTTTTAATTTAGGGTCTGGGAATACATCTTAAATACAAATGAACAGAACATGGTGATTTGTCTTTCGAAAAAAAAAAAAAATCTGTGGCCAGTCAAATTTGATTTTATTAAATATTTTGAAACACAAGCTCAAAATATAATTTGTTGGCTTTAATTAATTTTAAGTATTAAAAAAAATTTCAATACCATGACAAATTATTGACATTTATTAAACATTACCTGTGTAACACAATTTTATAATACATACATTACCTATGAAATAACAATCTCAGTTAACTTCAAACATATATTCAACCGACAATTATGTTCAGTTACATAAAATTAACTAAAATGGCAATGATTCTGATGATGGATCCATCAAAATAATAGGAATCAACCTCCTTAGCTTTAGAGGTTCCCCTATCTCCCCTCACCCCCAAAAAGTATAACAAAGAAAAAATACAAAACCAAGTACTATTACAGTAAAACTCTCCTTGTTATCTGTTTTAACCAAGCAATCCAGGGCTACATTTTGTGTACCAACCTCTCAACAAAACCCTGGACATATCAGCTAATTCTTCCTCAGCTTCCATGATGCATTATAATCTCAATGCCCATATTAATTGTGTGATAAATATTAAAAAAAAAAAAAAAGCTGCCACATGTTTGCATATGAAAACCATGTCCCATTTAATCTATTTTAGCAACAATTGCAAGAACGAACTATCCACGTTTCAAATCATTCCTGTGAGTATGCAGCAATGAAAATCTGCATCACTTTTAAAAGGCTTTTTAAGCCCTTGGGATTTTACTGATAATTTTCAGTGAACTGTATGAGTCATGGGAGTTGTTTCACAAAAAGTGTTTAAAAAAAAAACTTGTGAAATCAGCATAAACACCTTTCACTTAAAAATCAGCCCACTTCATCCAAATTCTTGCATTTTTTCTAGTCTCCAGTGCCATCATGCTGCCATCAGCCATGTTTTAGGCTTTTCTGGGATAGTCTCAATAGACAGCCCTCAACTTTATGTCCACCCAGTCTAAAAGCGTTTTAAATCATGAACAACTGGCTCACAATAAATGTAGCTTATATTCCCAAATGGGCTATTGTCACCACTGGGAGAGTAAAAACACATTGATGAAAGGAACACATTTTGCTATTGTGATTCAGTTAAAAAGCAAGTAAATGAGCACATAAATAAATAAAAACACAGTAAGAAGGCTTTTTAGAGTGTTTGTGAAACACAACTTAATTGGTCATGATCCAAAATATGTCTTAATTTCTATACCCAAATTTTAGACCATGTCCAAGGATTAACTGGTGAAAATCTAATAAAATATAATATTTTAGCTGTTTTTTATAACAAGCAATGAATGTCAAACATTTCACACTAATATGCATTCTTTATAGCAGTCTACTATGGATTTAGCATAGGGCAGAGTAGACTTAAATTTTAGCCTAAAAGTTAAGACCAACTTTTGGGGCTAAAGCTTTTTGTGAAACCAGTCCCAGAATTCCCAGCTCCTGTCAATCAATTCTGCAATAAATCATATCCCAGTAGAGAGTCAGCTATAACGTCACATATCGACAGCAATCGGAATGGTTCATGCTTGGCAATGTCATTAGCGTGTGGCATAGAGTCCGTAATCCAGAAGTTCTCAAACTTGACATCCGATTGCGTGAATTTTTTCCAGGAATCGCTAGGAAATACTGCATGCGTCACGTAGGCACTGATACACTTGGCGCCTTGATTCATAAGTGCCTGGAAAAATATAACATTTAATATTAGCAGATTTTATCAGGACAATCCCCCCCCCAACCCCTCTGGACCCCCCCTCCCCCTGGACCCCCCTCTCCCAATAACATAACAATTCTGATGAACAAATTAATATTGTAAAAAATCTAACAAAATCTAACAAAATTACGTAAATGGACCTATAAATCTATTCCAAAATTTTCTGAGATTCAATTTACTGACAACCTCTCTCACCATAGATATTTCCCTTTCCACCAAGCCATCCCCAGCAGAAAGAGGTTTGTCTAATCAGTTTACAACCTTCACTGATGATAAAATATCTTGAAGTCAAAATAAAGAATGCATACACCAAAAATCATGTTTTTTATATTTTGAAGACATCTTAATACACATAATGTTTACTTTTCAGATGTTCAAGCACTATTTTACAGTGCTAACTGTAGACATCCCTCTCCGTATTTGTCACCATGGCAACACAGTACAAACCTTTCCACACTCTTTAAGCGTCCCTCCAGTCATCACCAGGTCGTCCACTATTACCACGTGTTGGTCTTTGGGGTTACCTGAAAAATATGGAAATAATTTATAGGACCTGTTTCACAAAATATGGTAGATAACAAAAATGGAAACTTATCTCTATATCATTAGCATGTCTCTGCCATTTTCAGCGTTTTCTGAAATTTAAGGTGATTTTTGGGGGCAATTGATGTTATGGTAATCAATAAGCTGATCTTAACAAGTCAAAATTTGGCAAATATTTTGGTCTCAAAGTTTATACCAACATCAACTCTATAGTTCTTACAGGAAACTGACCCTGGTCATAAATCAATTGCTAAATTACACACAAAATATAAACTATTACTCTCCTACCATCTTTGATCCTGATGACCCTCTTGTCGCCCTCTCTGACCTTGACACATATAATGGTGTTCATCTTGTCAAACATTCGATGAAATCGTTTGTGGGCACCATCGTCAGGAAAGGCAATGGAGATATTCTGATGATCTGGCAGAGACTGGACTTCCCTCTGCAACAGTGGAATCGCCGTTTCTAATCTGAAATATGTCATAATGGAGCATTTTACATATGTACATTGCAATGTTCCACCTTAACCTTTCACTTCATCAAATTCTTCTTGGGTCAAAATGGACTAAAATGTAGGTCTAAAAGTTAAGACAAATTTTTGTGTTTTTGTGAAACAGGACAGCAAGCTTAAAACCAAGGAAAGTTCCAGAAACTGAACCTTCCCTGCAATGAAACCATATTTCAAGAGCCATTCACTTCACAAATTATTTATGCTCTGCAATAAAAAGAGAGGACTGGGGGTAATGTCTGATAGCTAGGTGTTCTTGACCTGATCCTCACACTCTAGATTGAGTTACCTAGGTATGACAGAGTTCCCAAAGTAGAATCTCTCCTGCAGAGCGTGGATGTCAAACACCATGATGTGTGGAGGTCCTCTGCTACACAGCGGAATGCAGGACAACATGGTGGACAGAGTCTGGAAGAGTTTTCAATGTAAGTTCTTGAAACTTTGTTGACATCCAGTCAAGATAATTTTTATAACTATTACTATTTTTATTACTCTTTTAGACTTGATTCACACACACACACACACACACACACACACACACACACACACACACACAAAATCAACAAAAAGATGTCATTGAATCCTCATCATAATGACATCTGCTGGTCATTAATGGATAAGAATGTCAAACTAACTGGCTGCTAGGTGGCACTGCAGCCAAGACAATACCATAAATGGCAGGCAGCTGTCCAGCAGAAACCCACCTTAGCAGTGGCAATCTCTCCCTCCATCTCCACTCGCTCCATGGTTGCTGTGGGAAAGTATGGCAGAATGAAAGTTAGGGATCTGGCTAAATACCTGAAAAAATATATTTAAAAATTCCACAATTGTACAAGACAATACTGATGTTATATACCCATATATGTCGTGAAACTGGGGTACCAGAAACAAATTATGCATTGAAATATGATAAGGATACTTAACTTGCTTTTTTTCAATACATGGTACCTATCATATTTAATTATTTTTTTCATTTTCTTATATTTTGTTATTCCCCTAAAATGGTGGATAAAATAGGAAGAAAACTAGACCAAATGAGATCAAGCATTACTTAAAAACAATAATCAAACCTACCTTGGTAATGCATACACTATTGACAACTGTTCAAATATCACTTCAGCAGAGTGAAAACTGCCAAGAAATATCACTGAAAAGCCAGAGTGACCAAAAATATTATTAAAAAAATTTTTAACATTACCAAGTAGCTGCCTGTTCATGAAAATCTCACCTGAAGATGGAGACGATGAACAGATTAAAAAAGTAGCATATCTAGGATATGGCTGGTACAGAAGAGAGTGCCACTAGGAAGTATATTATTATAAATGAATTCATTAATTAAAAAAAGAAATTATCCTTGAAAGTGCAAGCCCCAAAGATCCAGAACCACAAATACAAACCAGAAAGACTTTCAAATTTGAATTTTGAATGTTTAATTTTTCTCTTACCATCTTTGCCAGCCATTGTCTTGACTTCTTCAATGAAGAGGTTTGGGAAGCCATCTGGAAACGTTTTCCATCGGATGCTTTTCTTCAGCTCAATCTTCCTTCTGGGCACTTCTTGTCCCTGCTACAACCAAATTAACTCGTGATGGGAACTTTTGTTTGCATAATACAGTATCTTTATCACTGTTTGTCTTGATTGCTGTAATGATCGACCCAATCTTTTCAATAGGGAAAATTGTGAATTATACAGATGCTGATTTTTTAGTCATAATTTCTTAAAATTAGAACATTTCTATTGAGGGGTAGCAACAAAGTTAAAAAGAAGGCTACCCTTTAGTTTTATTCTATATCGTAAATGCACCAAAATTGGTGTGCAGAATACAATTTTAATGATACCAAAATTATGTATAGAAAATATTGATAATTTTTCCCCATTGAAAAGATCCAGTCTTAATCATACAGACTCAAAAATTTTAATCAATTTTCAACAAGACTGAAAGCAATGAACATAATCAAGCAAAGGCAAAAGTGAACAAGAATTTGCATGCTATCAGCTCAAGCCATAATGGTGACTTACTTCCTTATTAACAAGTTGCTGTCAATGTCTGTATGCTGTGGATGCCATGGACGAGCCTATCCATTTACATATATTGGCAACAATTTCAATCAAACAAAAAGATGGGTAGCAAAGCAGGTATTTGACCAAATAAACAGATAATTTCAATCAATTATAAAGAATTAAATATAATTTTTTAATCAAATTTATTAAATGGCAAGAAATGCCAAAGTTACAGCATCTGTATGTAAAAGCAGTAAGATAATTACTCAAAAAAAAAAAATAAAATAAAAAAATTGGTGAATTTCTCTTCTCTTAATATATCATT